TATTGGAAAACATCTTTGTTAATGGCTGCATTGTACTTTGGGACTTGAATCAAAATATCAAATGAACTCTGACAATGAGGATTCAGTGAACACAATGTTGGTCAGTGCTATGGAATGTTTTTTAACTAAATCCTTACAATTCCTATTATTATTATTTGCAGTGCTGGGACTGACCCAAGGCCTCCCACATGCTAGGAAAACACTACCACTGAGCTATATCCCTAATCCCCAAATCCCTATAAAAGACATTTTAGTTACTTCTAATTTCCTTATCATAAACAATGAATTTTTTTAATTGCTTCAATTCAATCTTTACTGATCATCTGTTATCGGTCTACCATTTTCCTAGAGGTTTTCAAGGAAAAATGTGGAACATTTAAGCAATAGTATGTTTGGGAGAGCTGCCTATCTCTAGGGTATTATGTTGCAGGTTTAATGTGAGAAACATAAAATCATCTTTCATATTCCCAGGCTGGTGGTTTTCAAACTTCAGTGGATACCACAATGACCTATAGGGCTTGTTAAACATACAGATTCCTGGACCCACTTCTGGTTCAGTAGGACTATCATGGTATCTAAGAATTTTCATTTTTAACAAGTTCTCAGGTGAAGTTAATGCTGCTGGTTCCAGGAATATACTTTGAGAACTACCTTAAGCTATTTTGGAGAATTTCTGAGCCTGATATCTTAAATTTGCATACTTCTTCATCTGTTAGGAATTCAAAGATCTAGAAGTAGCAATGTTTGAAGTTAATGATGCAGAAGAAACTATATATGCCATTTCCTCTGAACAATCACTGGAGATCTCTAGTTTCTCAGGATTTTACTTTCATTACTATGAAGTTATCTTGAGGCAGGTTCTTCACTACTAGTTGGCAGGGAACTTGCCCTCTGGCACTCTAAGCATCACCAGTAGCAACAGGAGGGGATTTGGGTGTGAACAGTTCTACCAAAATGGCAGAATTCTTAATAGGAAGCTCAGGAGTTGCCTCTCTGGGTCAGAGGTGGTTGGGTGCTACAGTTTATCCCCAAATGGGCTGTGTATTAAAGGCTTGGTTTCTAGCCCATGATACTATTGAAAGGTGTTAGAGACTTTAGTAGGTGGGGCCTAATGGGAGGTTTTAGCACACGTCCTCAAAAGTACTGTGGGACTGGTATATTCCTTGCTTTGGGGTCAGCAAGAGGTGAACAACTTGCTTCACCCACCATGTGCTACACTGGTGCCTTATCACAAGCCCTAAGGCAATGGAGCCAAGCAACCTTGGACTGAAACCTCGGAAACTGTTAGCCAAAATAAAACTTTTCTTTTTAAGATGATTTTTTCAGATATTTTTTACAGTAACTAAAAGCTGACTAACACACTGGGTGTATCTTGGCTGCAGGAACCTTATCAAAGTTCCAGAACATTCACCTGAGACTTTAGAAGAGCTGGATAGGTATGGAATGGGGTGAATGGAACATGTTTCCCCTGGATTTAGGATGGGGGGGGGTCTTGAGGTCATGAGCTAGCTCTCGTTGCTGCAAAAGCCAGGTCCCACAGGCAGAGGAGCCAGAGTTACTAAGTTGCTGGTGAGTGTAAAGCTAACTACAATAATAACTTTGTGGTTTCCTTCCCTTAGCTACTCTGGTGGGTGGCTTCAATTAATAGATCCATTGTTTCATTCTCCTCATAGCAGGTTTAAATCCAGTTTCACCATTCACTAGCTCCATTGCTAACTAGTTCTTGGGAAACTTCCTCATCTGTAAAACGAGGACAACATTCCCACCTCTTCAAGTTATTGTGAGGATGAATATAGTAACACATGTAAAATATCAGTTAGCATGGGAATTGATACACTGTAGTCTGCTCTTTATCTAATGGGAGTGTGGATCTATGGCAAAGTTGTATACCATGCTGCAGGAAGTTTCATTGACTCACAAAATTATGCCAGATTCTCTTTGGATATAAGAGTACTGACATGATTCCCTCTGGAAAATGAGCTAGCTTTGGGAGCCTGCTGTTAAGTCTCTCATAAGCATATGCAGTCTCTAGAGGTCATGTAAGATTGGAGCCTATATTAGTTGACAGGAAAATATCATGCCACACTAGCTTTTGAAACCGTACAGGGTCTAGTATGACTATTCACTGTATGGAACTTTTTTCCAAGATAAAAGGAACAGGGCTGAATTATTTCAATCAAATTCATTTTACAGATTATCTTGGGAGGTTTTCAGTGACTTCCTAAGGATCACAGAACATTGTAATATTTAGGGTTCTTAATTCTGAATGATCTTGTTTTCATCTATTTTTTTCTGAATCTTTCCCCTTTTGCTCTATCCATAGAACTTGTGTGTTATACAGATCTTTGTATTTTATATACGTGTCCAAAATGATGGGGAAATTCATTAACACAATTTTGTGTCTCAAAAGTCTTGCTTAGGAAAGGATTTTGGAAGAATGGGAATTTAAGGACAAATTGGAAGAGTGAAAGCATAGGTTGACATGCCACAAGCAGTGCAGCTCATCTTCATCTGTCATTCTGACATACTCTAAATGGTCGTACTGCTTAAACAGTTTCTTTATAAGCATTATTATTCCAATGACCTCATTTTAGCTTATTAGAAACTTAGTACCTATGTTTATATTTCAATTTTGTTTTACAGTTTTCATGTTGTCTTAAGCATGTCTTACTTAGCCAGTGAATATGATTTTTTCCCCTATGTCAGAAGCTTACTCAAGGAAAAAAATAATTAGAAGCCCACTTTTAATTTAAAAGATCTGTATTACAATTATAAACTTAATTTTGAACAACCAACAATAAAAAAAAAAAGACAAAAAAAAAAAATTATAAACTTAAATACATCATACTTATTTTATAAAAGAAGGCTTCCTTTTTGTTCCTTTATTTAAGAACTGAACTTTTAAAGCACAAAAACAAACTTCACTAGCAAAGGAAGTGATAATTAATTTCAGAATGGTCCATATAGAGTTCACTACCATCCCCCCACACTTCCCACTGCCTTAAGTTCCTGCTTCTTTTCCTAAGAGAGCTAAGGACCCTCACAGACATGATCCCTGTTACAGGAGATCTTGAATCCACAATACCTCTCATCAGAGGAAAATTTCAGAATGATATATACAGAGGACATTTCTTTCTCCTCACTGCCTTTTGTAAGTTCTTGCTACTTTTGATGGGAAAAATAAGGGCCTATCATCAGACACGATGCCTGTTGCAGGAGGGCTTAACTCACCAATTCCTCGTCCCCATTCTTAGTAGAGGGGAAGATGGATGTTACTATCCCTAGTATTTTAGTTGCAAATGAGGCATTTTCTCATTGAAATAATGTGAAAAATGGTGAGTAGATTGTCTTTACTGTGATGAATTGGATAAGTTACTAAGAGCTGGTTCAAAAAGCTAACAGTCATTTTAACATCCTTTCTATGAGAAACATGTTTGTAGGTCCAAAAATAGGCTGACCACCAACAAAGTTTTCTATGATATGTTTGAAATACAACTTGTCATAGGATGGGAAATGGTAGGCTATTTAAAAATTTTTGACTTACACAAATTCTTTCAAGTGTGCATTAAGCAACAAGCATTTCTTGAGTTCTGGAACATCTGCATAAAGAATCAGTAGTTAGGTACTAACCTCATGAAAAGCTCAAACATAGCTTGGGGGATCTAAACATACTATTTGTTTCACTTTTATATACGTTTGAAAATTTCCATAATAATAAAATGGTTTAAAAACCATTTATATATGAATTTCAAAAGTCCCCAAAGAATCAACCTAGGACAAAATTGGGTGGCAATGTAAGAACCCCTAATAAGAAGTAAAAATTTGAAATTTTAATTGTACCCATAACAGATAGCAAACAAGCTATCAATATAGAGAACATTTAAAACAATGCATCTTTTGGATTTTCCAAAACCTTTCATCATTGTTGCTCAGAATTAAGAATGTCTTTCAAATGCCTAGGTGTGACATTTTTAAAAAAATCATTATACAACATAAAATAAAACTGAAGGAGAGCGTCTTACTAAATTGGGGACAAATGAAAGATCTTCGTAAATCTCTGAAGAGATTTAGATTCTATTTTGCTTTAATCTTAACTAACATTAAGTGATTTAACTGGTGATTAGCATTTTCAAAAGCATACAAGAAAAATATATATTCTCATCGATTTTTTAAATAAACTGAACACTAATCATTTTTATATATTTCCATTTTATTTTCAAGTACTTTATTATGATTAATACAAAAAATTAAATTCATTTTTAAAAAAGCATCTTTTTAGTACAGTTATCTCTTTAAAATGTAACTTCATAGAGGTCTATTAGGCTTTTTAAGGCATAATTTTATGAAATTTAGAGTTAAAGCATTTACTCTTTAGCTTTTTAGTCCCTAATAAATTTCCTATAACATACTTTCATATCTTTTACAAACAAAATATTTGAAAAAACCACAATGTCATGACATAAAAGAGAGCAATAATTGCAGTAGACAAAATAATAAATGAAATATGATATGCCTTCTGCTATGTACCTATGAGTTATACAGAATAATCACTACAGCAGATGTCCTTAGAGAACAAAGGCGAATAGGAAAGTAAAAAGGTTGGGGAAGGCATGGAAGATATTTTCTGTTATCTTCTACTGTGTGGTCTATTCTTTAAACAGAGAAAGGTCTCCTCAAGGGCAAGTCCTGTTTCAAATGTCCCTTTACCCTCCTGACTACAGAATAATGTGTTTGTGTAGTATATGATTACACCAGACAAGACTGTGAACACATGCGATTTACTCAATGATCCTATTCTGCTTCCTTTTAAAGATAAAGAATGTATTTCAGTTGATTGTGTATGAAACTATAGTAATTCCTTAGAAGGCTCTGTTCAAACACAATAATACTACCTTATTTTAAAATATTAAGAGCAAAGTCATTTTCTTAGTCTTCATCTTTTTAGATAACATCAATTAATGCTTACATTTACTTTGCAAGAGAAAACATAACACAAGCAATTACTTTAAAATAGCTTTAATTCTTCTTTGTATAAGCAAAATGTCCCCATAAAACATTCATTTTTCAAAAACATTTCTTTATATGTAAATAACTTTAAAAATCTGAGAAAGATATAAGAAACAACAATCAAAAACAATATAACCCACCACCACAGCTCCTAACAGGAGACCAGATGAAGACACAGATCTCATTAAAACAAGCTGCTCACATTCCCACAATACAACTCCCTGGGAGGAATCTTGTCTTCTTTAACTTGGTGGGTGGCAGAGCCCATAGGAATTATTCAAACTATGAAAATCCCAAAGCATGGTCACCTAGGGGCAAATGAGACAGATATGGCTTAAGCATAATTATTTTCTTAAAGAGTTAAGAAAACAACCTTAAATGATAAAGGTTGCATGGGTTTCAACTTTGACAAGTAGATAATTGTGTATGTATTTACCAAACAACATTTTCTATCTAAGAAGGAAATTCACAATGTATACCACACCATTTTTCTTTAAAATAACATTCTCTAAGTCTCTTATATTTATTGATTATAGATATATTTAAGTGATATTTAAAAGAGTTTAAAAAAAGCGCAAATATTTGAGGGCTTACTATCCGACAACCATATTGTACTAGTTATTTCACAAGGCTTGTTTCACTTACTCCGAACAATAAACCTATAAAGTAAGAATATTAGTCCTATTTTACAAATAAAAGCTAAGGCAGAAGGAAGTTAAATTAATTGACCAAGATCACACAACCAGAATTCAAAACCAGATCCTTATCTCCAGAGCTGTTACTTTTAATTTAGCTCTAGTTCTATAATATGAAATAAGATTTTAACCCCATTATTATATAGAACTATTCCTCTAAGGCTATAAATTATTAGTTTGTTTGTGAACTTTCACTTCTCTGACTCGTTGTGACTGCTAGACTCTCAAGTCTTTGCCAATTAGTTTTCTGATTTCAACTGCCTTCCTGAACAGCCTGGACCCTAATCATTTCAATTATGCCTGAATCTCCTGCCCACGGCTCTCCTGAAGTCAAATAAAAGGGTCCCTGTAATAGAAATCTCTATTACTTCTTCCAACAAGTGAAACATTACTGCTGATTTAATCCAAGGGGAAAAAAAAAAATCATGCTGCCTGTTTTTAACTGGGTATCCACTACAACTCGGCATCCAGAACAGCTGTTCCAATTTTTTTTCCAGGACTAAATCCCCCAGTACTCTTGTATTCCTTTTCAGATTATTTCACCATGGATTGATTGATTGATTGATTTATAAGGGAGGGGGGAGAGAATATTTTTTAATATTTATTTTTCAGTTTTCGGTGGACACAACATCTTTATTTTATGTGGTGCTGAGGATCGAACCCAACGCCCCGCACATGCCAGGCGAGCGCATTACCGCTTGAGCCACATCCCCAGCCCATGGATTTATTTTTAAAACTATCCAAAGTAGGGTTTTCAGATAAAATACAGGATACCCAGTTAAATTGGAACTTCAAATAATCAAGGAATACTGTATAAGTATATACCAAATATCATTTCATAGAAATAGTCAATAAATAGTCAATTTATTTAAGATAAAACACAAAATGTACCAAATATTGTGTGAGAGAGACATACTTAATACTAAAAAAGTATTCACTCTTTATCTAAAATTAAACTTTAACTAGATATCTAGTATTTTAATTTACTATATCAAATCAAATCAAATTCCCTTCTTTCCATTCCCAGAAGTGTCCTCCTTTTTAGAGGTTAATTCTCTGATCTATTGTCTTAGTCAGCTTTCCATCACTATAATTAAAAACCTGACTCAATTAACATACAAAGTTAAGAGGTTTATTTTGGCCCATAGTTATAGAGGTTCCAGTCTTAAGTTAGCAGCATCAATGCTTGTTAATATTCAGATTGCTAGGTCCCCACTCCTAGAGATTTAAATTCCAAAAGTTTGGGTTAGGTCCTGAGAATCTGCATTTCTACCAAGTTGTCAGGTGATACTGATCTTGCATCAGTGACCACACCTTGAGAACCACACTTCTAGTTCCATATTTCAAACTATCAAACATTTTCCATAAGTCCATTCTTAAATATCATTTACAGTGTTGATTGGGGGTTTTGACCAAAAGTCCTAGGAACCAATTTGGGTCAACTATAGCAAAACCAAGAATTTATCAGGTAGCTCACAGAATCAGGTCAAGGTTAAGGTTGCAGAACCATGCTCCAAGTAAGAAATCACCCAGAAAAGAGACTACTTGACTGTAAGAGCATTACTTCTAAGTCTGAAGAAGTAAATTGAGTGTTTCTTAGGTTTTTGACACTCTCTGTTTAAATCCAAGCCAGAGTCACCTATCCATCCCCTATTTGTACCTGAGGAATGATACAAAGAATTATGGTAAAAGTAGTCACAAAGGACTCCTTTTCTTTTCATACTGTCTTAGTTGAGGTACTCACAATCAAATAGGTGGATTACTACAACAGCCTCCTAACTGGTTTTCTTGCCCTTAAAAAAACATCTCCAGTTTGCTCTCCACATGATCTTCAGTTATCTCTTTAAGATATGACATTTTCTTCTTTGGCTGTTTGGTGCAGTATTATTATCTTAACTCATTTTGGATAATAAATTACTTTTATTTATATGTAAGTAGTTGGGATAATTTTGCCTTAGCCAATTCAAAAATATAAAAGTAATTTCAGAGGGTAGGGAATACATGTCATTATAAAATAAGGACTTAATCCCCTACCACCCAGGCCAAGGTCAGAAGTGGAGTACTAAAATTTTGCATAAACACCCCTCTTAAAGCCTTTAAGATAGTAATGTCTCTCACTACACTGAAAACTCCCTCATGGCAAGAACCAAGTCCTCATTGTGTCCTTAGCACCAACACAGTGCCTCATACATATCAGATACTTAGAAATGAATCAAGTCTTCACCTCTTGGCCCTCACTACCTGGTATAAAATAGTCTTCAGTCTCTGCCTGCCTTTCTCCCCACCACCAAATCCCTCCTGTATACCACTCAATCAACTCAATCATCATTTCCTTCTCATAATATCTGGATTCCCCAATACATGCTTCCCAACTCTAAACTCTTCAGTATTCAAAACCTTCCATGACCTGGTTCTAATTCAATTTTCCTAGGTTTGCTCTCACTCCTCACACTGTCAAGTAGTCTGGACAAATAAGGTTTAACACAATGTAAGCTTTTTGTGGCCGTACTGGTTCCATTTTTTGGACTATATTTGTCCCATGGTGTCTCCTCTACCCTGACTTCAAAGTCTAGTTAAGTTGCCATCTGTCAGTGTTCTTAGTCTTTTTCAATCTATAACCCAGTAATCCAGGTTCTTGTTGATAATGCCCCCTCACACCTCATGCTCCTTAACTTCCTGGTTAATAATCTTTCTATTAGAAGCTTTTATTAATTACTCCCGTTTGTATATATAACTTCATTATTAATTGAACACATTATCTTAAATTATCATGATATTATTTGTCCTATAGATTTTAAGGACCTTAAGGAGTTTTCTATAGTTACTCTTATCTGCAAAAATCTTCTACAGTGCCTTATACACAGTAGATGATGAGCAAAATCTGTGGGGCAGATGAATAAATGGATGTATATAATACAGGGCTTGTATTTGGGACAGGTCTTTCCTCTTGAGGTAGTCAGTCAGTGGTTGTGCCAGGGATTTCTGAACTGCTGTAATCAGTGGGTTCTAAGCTATGAAGAAGTGAATCTAAATCAAAGACAATCAGGTTGAGCACAGATTTAAATGTCAGGAAGCCAAACACAAGCTTCGAGTAAAAAGATCCAAAGACTGAACCCAAGATGAAGCATCAGGTAGAAACACAAAAGAAATAATACTACTTGAATAACAGCTAAAGGAGATCTGGGATGGTAGAATTTTGTGGGCCCTGTACATAGCATATACTAAAGTGAGTGGGTTTGTTGGTAAAATGTGTGTCTAAGAATTAGAAGTTAGGTTGGCAGCCACTTATCATCTCTAGCAAGAAACTCATACATGAAAATAAAATATTTATAATAGCAAATATGGAGAAATTAAATAGAACCTGCTCTGAGATGTGGATGTAATTTGAATTCCATTTTCTTGCTTTTGCCCTGTCACCTAATTTGCTTCACACATTTGAACAAGTGCACATACAAATTCTAATGTATTTTATTTCTTTATACAGAAAAACATATTTTAAAGAGATAATATCATAGCACCCAATTAAAAATATAAAAACTCTTTTAACTTTTTTCTTTATTTTTTTTTGCTCTAGTTTTTAGTCTTTTGATCTACCCATTGGTAAAGCAGCAATAAGAACACTGTACCTAATCACCATTAATTTTTCTGCATTAACTATTCATAGACTAGAAACTTCTAAGGATATTTCACAAAGGTTAAAAAAAACACCTAATTAGAAGAAGTGAATATTTTATTTTTGAAAGCTCTCAAGCTACAAAACAGCTACAGTTACCTTACTCTATAAAACATTTGTTTGCCTGTCAGTCTGAGAGTTGGACTGAGCAGCTCTTTTGCCACACACAGTGTTTTCTTGCACTAATTAGCAGCAAACATTATGGCAAAGACTAATGTCCACATGAAAAGCACAGGAAAATTCATTTAAAATCCTATTGTAAATGTGCAATAGTCCTCAGCATGATTTGTAAAATAAATTTTGTTATTTTGAATTAAATGTTGTTAAAATACAGTTTTAAATCACTTATTATACTTCCCGATATTACTAAAAGAAGGATAAACTCCTATATTAGTTTAAAAGTTAATATATTGGGCAAGCAACATGAAAGAATAGAAAGATCGGCTCACCAAGGAGGTAAGTGACTTGGATCCCTTAAGGGGCTTTACCCTATGGGGTCTTAGGCAAGTCATTTACTCTTGAGACTCAATTTGCTTATTGTAAAATCTAAAGCCTTAACAGTGGGTTTTAGCAGAAAGGCTACAATGGGCTTGCCTGTGGACATTTCTGACTTAATAGATGTAAGAAGTGGGGGCCTGGGGAACTATATCTTGACAACACCTCATAAATGATTGTGATACATATTACTGATTAAAACTCAATGGTCTAAATGATTTCTTGGATCTTTTGCAATTCTAAGAGTCTACTTTTTATATCAATGGAAATAATAGTTCCTAGCTTTCATCATTACTCTCTTCTTATTAATGAATAGGCATATTTTAGAAAATAGAGAGGTTGCTTCTAAATTATGAATAATAGCTTATAGTTATTGAGTGTTTACCAGACTAAGGTATTAACTCATTTAAAATGTGTAATTCAATTCTCACAATAGCATGGTGAG